GAATGGATAACTAATTCTAATTTCTTTTTTCCTATCTTTACACTATATTAATTTTATCTTATAAATTCTGCCCTGTTTTGTCACCCATGAAATAAAAATAATTGTTTGTATGGAAAATAAAGATCTACGTAGATCAAATCATCTTTAAATTAAGTGGCAGCAGAAGACTTATCGTTGAACTTTTAAAAGGTAAACTTAAACATTAATTCAGTACTTAAATGCAGTGATAAATTTTGAATTCTTCTGTAGTTTATTGATGCCTATCGTATCTACTCCTTCCTAGTGATGATGGCCAAACCAAGAATCCTCTACAGGAGCTAGCTTAAATGCCACCCGATAGGGCAACTTTTAAGCTAGCTGCAATTTTGGTTACAAAAATAAAATAAAATAAAGTTACACCCATTGAACCCTGAAAGCAATGATAATGGCTAGTATAATATATTAATATATATTTTTAAGCTCACATAATCTGGCAACCCTGAATCAGAGTGTGATTGTCGTGAGCAAGATACGCGACATCATGCCCGAAAACGCCCATACATTGCATGCGTATGGTGTCACAGTGCAGTTGAGGAAGGGAGAATTGGTGGAGTATGTCTACGCATATGTAAAACTCTCCCACTCAGCTGCTTTGTCATGGTCTATAAAATGAGTGTGTCTGAAGGCTTTGGCAGTTGGGGCTGAGGGAGCTGACAAGAGACGATTGCTCTGTTCCAGCGGGTCCTTTTTGATGTGACAGCTACACAAAGTTCAGTGAAAATCATTCCCTGCGCATAACTTTTCTAAGGCTTTTGAATGACCCATGAATCATTGAAATCAGACCAGTGGGAGTGGAGGAGTTGCTTGGATACACACACAAACACACACTGTACTTTATATATAAGATAGAAGAGAAAGAACAGAAGAGAGTGAGAAAGGAAGAGGAAAATAGGTGAAATCAGAAGGTAACCACAACCGCTTTCTCTCAGAAAGGCTCCCTTCTCAAATTCTCTATCATTTTCTCTCATATTCACATACCTGTCTTCCTAATTCCTGTTCTTTTATTCTTCTCTCTCCTTAGTAATGTTTTCTACTTCACATATTTTTCACACTCTGTAACCCCTTGCATCTTAGTTGTCCTATTACCTTGGTTGGGGTGAAATGATTAAAAAAAAAAAAACACAACAGACACCTATCTTTTCCTTTTTATACCCTACTATCTTTTATTCCCTCCACATACATACACACAACTTCTGCTTGATTCTCTTACAAAAGATGTGCACACTCAAAAACTCACGCTTCCTCTCAAAAGTTTATGTAGTTACACAAATGTGCATATACACACCTGGGCATACTCTCCCTCACTTATCTGTTTCTTTCAGACAAGCACATGCTTTCTTTTTCTTTTCTTTCATAAAACTCTTTACTAACAAATTCTCTATCTCTCCCTGTGAATATATCTCTCTCAAGCATCAGAACATTGCCCATCTATTAACAGATAGACAAACAATAATCAACACGCATAGATGCATACAAAAACAGACAAGACTTCCACTTTATATAAAACCTATTTTGCAAACTAAGCAAAAACGACAATGGAGAGGTAGTAATTTCTTTTCATAGAAGTACATCAGTCCTAACAGAAAAGAAATCACAATGGGTAACGTAATTGGCTCTGGTTCAAGCCTTGGGGCTGGTAGCATCAACAAGCGTGTGAAAATCTAATGTGTTGCAATGGCCTTTATGGTCAGACTATCTTTTAGTCTCCATGAGAAACTACTGAAGTGTTAACATGAAGAGTTGGTAGAAGTCCAAAATAAACTTAGCACAAAAAATAAAACACAGTGCATTCCAGAAGATATGAGACATTTTTTTTTATGAGCTGCATTTATAACAGTCCTAAGTTATTGGAATTTCAGCATATAATTTCTATACATCTAATAAGCTGACCTGCCAACTTTTGTTATTCCAGGTTGAAGGAGACGGTTGTAACAGGACTTTGAATACACCTTACTAAACTCTGCCTGTCACAGCTGACTAGTTTGCAGAATTCAGTCGGGACATGCAGACAATTTGGAACCTTGTGATCCAATAAAGTTTCGTGCTAAACTGGGCAAAAATACTACAGAATCTTATGAAATGCTCCAGATTGCTTATGGATTAACTTGTATGAGCCAACACACGGTATTTACTCTGACCGCCCCCCCCCCCAGCACGAGATGTGACACAAGGTCTATTTTTAGGTGGAGACACGAGCGCGTACACCTGAGACAGGAACAAAAATTCCCCTCAGCCCCTGCAACCATGCACTGGCCTTGGTGCAAGCACCGATCACTCCCTCTTGTGCAATGGGAGGGTGTGGCCTCAGGCAGCTGTTCCCCAGGGCTGGGCACCTCTTCAGTATGATTTTCCTCAGTTACCTCTCTGTCTTTTGACAGAGAAGCCCCTGAGCACACTCTGTCCAAGGACAGAGAGGCAAACTGAGAGATAATAAACACATGTTATTTTTTTGCTGGCACAATAGGTTCAAGGATGTGAGAGATACAAGAGGGAGTGGTACATCTGGTTGAGAAAATCTGCAATTTTCTGGGTGAAGACCGTCATGTATCTATAAAGACAGTAAGCACACAGTTTAGAGTTACTGTGGCAACTGTAAACAGAATTATTCACGAAGATCTGTACATGCACAAAATTTGTGCAAAGCTGGTTCCCAGGGTACTTGAATAGAAGGAAAGATGTATTGGTGACAACAGCGAGGTGGTTGATGGATATCAAAACTGTCCCTCACCTTCACTGCAGTCAAGACCTGTGACATTTGGTTGTTCCCCAAACTGAAGGAGAACTTCAGGGGCAGTCATTTTGAAGACATTGAGAAGATGAAGGGGGATGTGATAAGGGTACCTTCACTATGGATGGCTTCTATGGGGTCTTCACAAAGTGGATGGAGCACTACAAGAAATGCATTGAAACTAGAGGATCCTGCTTTCAAGCCAATTATAGTTTTGTACTTATTTTTGTAATTATTTGCAATTAATAAATATTTGCTGAAAAGTCTCATAACTTCTGGAATTCACCTCATATAGGCATCTCAATATATATATATATATATATATATATATATATATATATATAAAGAAATATAGTCTTAAGGTGTGCTATATTTATGGGATAAAGTGCTCAATATCAGAGATAGAGCGTGTGTAAATACTGTTAAATACGTGATATAAACAAATTTTTACTACGTTAATAAACTAAAATAAGAATCAAAAAAATAAAAAGGAGCAATATAATTTGACCCAAATAAATAAACAAAGCGACTTCCGGTAAAAAATAACCACCATAATAGAATACCCACAATGCACCACTAACCCGTATATATATAAATAGCCGAGAAAAATAACAGCATATGTGTCCTGACGATTGCATATAGCATGAAACAGACTGTCGCCTCTAAGTGTTGACTTCTATGTTCACTTTTATATATATATATATATATATATATATATATGCATATTTCATTAAGAACTACAGACAAGGTACTACGTTTAAGCTTTTTATTTAATTTTTCTTGTGTTCAAACAAGAGCTTTCTTTTCGGCACAAACCAGAATTTATACAATTCCTTAAAGAAGAACAAGGCCACAGTGTGCTAACCGTATTCGGAAATTAAAAACATCTCTATAACACACTAAAAACATACACATAATGCACACACTCAATTAAGCTGGAAAATTGAATGATCCTTGATAATGGCTAAAGGTATAGCCGAAAGCGCTCGGAACTATAAAACATTTGGACAGAAAAGAAAGCTCTTGTTCGAACACAAGAAAAATTAAAGCTTAACCGTAGCACCTTGTCTGTCATTTTTAACGAAACATATATAAACGAAGGATTGCTGCCTAAATATACAACAAGGTTTTCTAACAAATCAACTGTTACCAATCGGGCACTGATTCTGGCCTCAAGTGTAACTCAATGCAAGAACTGAAGAGTCACCTGCAAAGATACCCACAAGAAAGCATGAATCCAGTAATAATCAAAAATGTGAAAGTATTCAAATGGGTTGAAAGAGTTCATGAAGTCATTATACTTGGTCATAATTGGACTTCCACCAATTATATATATATATATATATATAGGCAGCAAATTCTCTTTTAGGCATGTCTGATTGAATAAATTATAGACATTATGTCTGCTAATTTTTAATAAAATCCATTCATACTCACAGATATCCTTCTGTGTATTGATGTTAAAAGATGAGAGAAATGTGCTATAGCTGTTTAAATTTCTTTCATTTTCATTTCCCAAGTACTTTCGATCTTCTCCCAAGGTCATCTTCAGGGGTACACGATTGAAAGTATGTTTTGTACCACTTGCACTAGAAGATGCCAAGGAGTTTTCTCATGCATTTGTTCTCAAATGCTTGGATTTGTCTCTTTGTTTCTGCCAACAGTGTCCACATTTTGCATCCATATAAAAGAATGAAGAATATCAGTGATTTGTACATTCTGTACTTCATTTGAAAGCTGATTTTGCTCCTCCATATTCTTGTGAATTTGGCCATCTTCCAGACAACTTATGTTAATGGCTTTTAATAAAATGATGGTTTTTAGAGTTCTAAATTGTATATTGATTTCCAAAATTATTTATATTATTCCAAATGCAATCTTTTTTGTAATTATCACAAATTTAATAATTTTATGGTCTGTTTCTCTTCATCCAGTGCTTGTCGGTTTGGTTAACCTTTAAAGAATTTAAAACTGAACCCTTTATTTAATCTACATAGGTTGATTGTTCTTGTTCAGCCATCCATGTCTTGGGATATTTTGTCTGGTTTTTATTTAGTACTACTCAGATATTACTGACTTCATTTCTGCTGAGTCTACACTACCTGATCCAAGGATTGAACTCACAATTACTATGTTACCAAATTCATGAAGCAAGGCTTTAATCCGCTAAGCTCTTGTTAAGTGGGTAAAGTGAACTCAAAGGTATTGCCTTGCATGTGGGACAATCATGAACCTAGAACTTGGAGCCAGGTAGTATAGGAGGAAGAGAGTAAAACAGAAACAGGAAGGAAAAGGGGGTAGCAGATATAAGAAAGGAGGAAAGAAAGGGTGAATAGAAAGAGGGGAGAAGAGAAAGGAGAGGACAGAAGAAAGGGAGAAGAGAAAGAGAAGAAGACAAGCAAAGGAGAAGAGAAAGAGAATAAAGGGAGAATGGGAGGAGTGGAAGAAGAGAAAAAGGAGACAAAAGAAAAAATAGGAGGGGGAGAAAAGAGATAAGAAAGGGAAATAAAAAGAGCAGGCAAGAAAGGCTAAAGAGAAAAGAGAGGAGGGAGAAAAGAAGAGGTGGAGGTGAGGGAAGGCTGAAGAAAGGGAGGATGAGAGAAAAGAAGAGGAAGGAGAAATGGGAGAGAAAAGAAAGAGGGGAATAGAGAGAGGAGATAGAAATAAACTGAAAAATATCAATCAGAATAATAAAAGCAGGAAAAAGCAGAGAGAAAGAAAGGAAAAATAAGACAATCATAAGAAGAATGGGTCGAAAGAAAAGTTCAGATATAAGCAAAAATAAAAAAAAAAGAGCCAAGAGAAAAGACAGGAAAGAGATCTTTAACAAAATGGCCGAGAAAATGATAGGGAGTAGGAAGGAAAAGAAAAGAAACTCCCAAAGTGATAAAAAAAGAATGAGAATAGAATAGTAAAGAAAAAATACGGTGGTGAAAGAGAAGAATAAACAAAAAAAGGAACAGAAAAAAAGGAGATAAATACAAAAGGAGAATGAGTGGAAGAGAAAGAATCTCTATAATTTCAAATTCATTAATCAAATAATGTCTTCCCAGAATTCCTGGTTCCACCTACTTCCTGCTTTTTCTCAATTAAATGTCTTCCAAGGAATTTCCTATCTTTTTTATTTCGTTTTTTTTTTTTTTTTTGTGATTCATTATATCTCCTTGATAAAAAGACATTAATAATTAAATAAAAAAAACATCATCAAATATCCTTAAAATTTTGAAATCAGTTTTAATGAAAAATATCCCAAAACTATATGGCAGCAGTTCCAGATTTACTATAATTTCCACATCCTGAACCTCAATTTCCAGCATTGATAGAATCCAAAAATGTTTATGTGATTTTGTGAGTGATGAATTATATTTTATTTTCCCCCCTACAGCCCACCGATGAAAAATTGCAAGCCTATCACTACTATATTGCTATTTTCATTTCAAATGTTCAGACCACCTCCATTTCTTTGCATCTGTAGCATGCCATGTCACATACATAGTCCATTAGTAAGAAGGAAGAGCTTCTTCCTATGAACTCATATTTTAAGGAACAGATTCTCAAGAGGATGCTTTCTTGATTACTAAAATCTTATCCATTTCCAGTCAAGGGTCAACCATTATCTATTCTACATATCCTCATAATCTGCACTAATTTCCTCCTCTTACATTCTTACAAAAACTTTTCTGCATAACCCACTACCTTGAGTGGCTCTTGGGCCTTGTTGTGGGTGTGACATTTAGTAAAATAAAAGGTTCAAGGTTGACACCCACAAAAAAAAATGAATGCTTATATCTCTAGTGGGGCACTAGAACAGACCCCTAAAAACTGGACAGTCCTAACCAAGCTAGGACATATGGTAAGTCTAAGAATAATCAGTTAAAGTGGGAATAGAATAAGGTGATTGCAGGAATGTAGAAATGGTGCAAGTAATATTATTTTTTTGTGAGATGTAGTAATACTCAGTCCCTCTAAAACCAAACAAGTAACATTTCATCATCACTGAGCAGACCCTGAATTTTCTCTCAGTATGTTGTACTCTTAATGGGATTTCTATGCTTTGAATGTCTATCGGGACTAAAGTTCTCCCCAAACTTCAAGTGGAATTCATATACAGGGTGTGATGGGTAAATTGTCACCATTTTATATTTTTAACTTCACATATGCGTCATGTTTGTTTTTGTCAATTGCACAGTGTAGTAGGATCAGTTGGATACCCTCAGTAAGAAAAAGACCACCATGATGCAATTCACTCTGCCAGAAATTTAGAAATGGCATGCTGTACTGCTTGGCATTCATACCAGAAGCTCCAATACAAACATTTCTTAGTGTTTTGGTGTCAATTTGAGGACAGTGCAGAGGGTTCGGAAAGAATGAAGGTGTTTGGAGTAATCATGAGTGATGGTGACATTATGCCTCCGTTCATCTTCCTACAGGGCCTCAGACTCAACATGGATGCCTACATCAAGTGCCTTGAAGAGGTAGACCTGCCCTGATTCAACAGGGTAGCTGCTGGAAGACCCTATGTCTGGTAACATAACTCTGTACCATGCCGCACAAGTAGGAGAACACAGCCATGGCTGTTAGGCAATTTCTGCAACCACATCACTCCTTACATCTGGCCATGTAACTCCCTAGACTGCAACCCCCTTGATTATTATATATGGGGCACAGTTGAGCGAGAGGCCAACAAAACTCCTTGTAAGACCAAACATAAACTGAAGGCAAGGATTATAGCAGCATTCACTAATTAAAACAATGAGACCATCCAGAAGAGCTGCAGGAGATTCCGAGTTCATCTGGAGGCTGTGATTGAAGCCAATAGTGATTTTATTGAATAAATTTACTCTTTAGTATTTCAAGATATTTTTGTGTCATTTTAGTAACCATATCTGTAAAGGTCTCAGTGTTATTTTCATTTTTGTGCAATTTAGACAATTTATTCATTGCACGAGACTGAAAAATGAATAATTCCTTGTACTGCACCGGAAAGTATTGAAACAGACTAGTAAATCTACATTTTAATATAACAGAGACACACAAAACTGCATTTTAGCACAACACAAACAAATTGGCATTTTAGCAGATATAGAAATTGAAACAGACTAGAAGATCTACATTTAAACATAACAGAGACAAACAAATCTGCATTTTAGCACACTCCATTTTAGGAGATGCACAAATTCAAATCTCTAGATGAAGAGTACAAATCTGTGAACACAAATCCAAATTTTAGCAGACATACAAATACAAATCTAAACAGATGCACCAATCTGCATTTAAACACAACAGTCACACAAATCTTCATTTCAAGAGATGCACAAATTCAGATCTGCATTTTAGCACAACGCAGATAAGCAAATCTATGTTTTAGCACAATGCAGACACATGAAACTCCATTATAGGTGATGCAGTAATACAAATTTGTAGATGAACAGTACAAATTTACAGAGACACAAATCTGAATTTTATAAGATGCACCAATACAAATCTGCATTTTCAACCTGAAAATGCACACAGATTTTGAAAGAAAACTGTCTATATAATGCAATTGCTTACACACTGATTATAAAACTGAATGCTCAATTATGCTGAAAATATTACTCACATATGAATTAATGTGTATATTCACAGACGCACACCTTGGTACAGACACACATTTGCTTGCCTCCTTTAAATGTTTGGTTTCTCATCATGTTAAGAGCTCTGCTTGTATTTTCAGTTTCTTTTTTTTTTTTGCTTTGTTCATTTAATTTGGCCCTCAAGAAATTCATATTTGTTTCTTTTTGTAAGGAATAAAAATAAAATTTAATCACATGATCATCATCAGCACCAGCATGATTCCTATGATTATTCTTCTGTTTGCATTTAAAACATTTTCTTTAACATTTTCATAGAATTCTTCCCAGAATTTTTTTCTGTTTTATGGCCCTCCTTTCTGGGGAGCTGAACGTTTATTTTAATCAACAAAATGTTTATTTTATTCAAATAAGAAAAAAAATTAAAATCTTTTGTTGGCTGTCGATTTCATATTTTATTTTTGTTGCAGTTAGAATTTTAGATATTAACAGATTTGAAAAAAATTTCTAGCATTTTTGGCCAAGGTTTTGATTTCTTTTGCCTGATACTATGTTTCAGGTTTAGTGCAAAATTTTCCAGCAGTTTTGGGGGACAAAACCTTTTATCTATTTGAATTCATAGCATCATTATTCAGCCATGAAACTATTTTTCCCTGACTTTCTATGACCCTACACCTTCTTTCAGGTATTAGATTGATGTAAAAGTTATGGAGACAAAATCTTTTATTCATATATATTCCATCTCAGCTTCAATCACTTTCTCAGCACTCTAAGGTACCTGTGCCTTTTCTATAAATACTTTCATAGTAATTGTTCGGATGAGCTCTTTGCTATGGTAATTGATATTTTATTCCCCTCCCCCCACAGACAATGAATTGTAAATATGGGGACTAGTTAGTATTTTCATAGAGACAAAGAGGTATTATTGTGGTTGTAGTAAGAAAGGTACGTATGAATGTGTTGTTCTGGTGTAAGGAATATTGTTCGCACGATTGGGTCAGTGTTTGCGGCTAGCTAAGTTATATTTAAGACAGAAGAAGACTGTCCTTTCCCCAATCCCCTTTTCGGCTATGTGCCACATTTCTGTATTAAACAGAATAAATATCGCTCTTTGCTATGGTACCCAGACTTTTTGAATTTAAGTGCAGCACTAGACTGGCATCAAGATCTCATCAATTTACAGTTGAGCTGGTGAGATGTAACTGTAAACGCAATGCTAACAGTTTCCTTTCTTGCACTTCTCAGCTGTGGAAGTCCCTTCCAGCTCCATGTTTTCCAGCCAACTTTAATCTTCAAAAACTTAAATGTAATATCAATTGCTATCTACTGTCCTGATTACTTTTCATTTGTTCTTACTTATTAGGAATCTTTGTTTCCAATTCTTTCACCCCCAGTAACCCCATGCGTCTTAATGGCTTTACTGCCTTGCTTAAGGTGAAATTGATTAAAAAAAATTATATATTCATAGCATCATTATTCAATCATCAAAGTATTTTTCTCTAATTTTCTGTTACCTTTTTTTTTTTTTTTTTTTAATAATGTTCACTATATACTAGGCCCAAGAGTCAATCAAGGTAGATGGTTACTGAAGGAGGTTGTATAAATTGTAAGAGTAAGAGATGCGGTTTATGAGGATATGATGGAAAGATAACAATTAACCCGAGACTTGAAGAGGTTAAGATTGTAATGGTCTGGAAAACATCTACTTGAGAGTTGTGGGAGGAAGCTGTTTGAGTGGAACTTCTTTCTTACTAATGGAATATGAAGGGAATGAGGATGATTCATCTCAGTGTACCTGGCATGGTAGGTTTTGACTTCGGCAACCTGACAACTTGCTACCAAAAAAAAATTATATAATCATAGCTTCATTATTCAGTTGTCAAACTATTTTTCTCTGATTTTCTGTTACCTATTTTTTATTTTTTTTTTTTTTTTTACTAGTGTTTGTTATATATTAGGCTCAAGTGCCGATCAAGGCAGAGGGTTACCACCGTATGAATGATCTAGTTTTCCTCTCTACAGTTCCCTCTTTTTTAAACTTATTCACTATTCTCTTGATGGTGCTTGAACAAACTTTGAAGATGGAAGCCTGAGTATGAATGTTTGTACCATTACTGGAGGCCTGAATGATGTTTTCCTCTCACCATTGCTCATTTAAGAAGAAAGTGGGGATGACACAAAATTATTTTAACCTGTTCTCTTTATAGCTGAATAACTCAAAGGGTTTTTCAGTGATTTTAACAACAATTATGCTATAACATGATTTGGACAATTTTGGTGTTAAGTAGTATATTACTATTGCATGAAACTGATATAAAGCTGTGAATCCCTAGCATGCATATGAAGCAACAACTTCATTATTATGCTGTCAACCCCATCAGTATAATAACCTAAGTACATGTATATCATAGCTTATAACCAAAAATTGTGTATTATCATATCTGTTCTGGAGATATTCCATCCTCGCTTTCCAACCTTGACAGGCATCAAAATCGTTTATGCAGACTTGTGTGTGATGACATATTTTCCATCCAGTAGCTCTTTTCCCACGGATGAAATATAGCAAGCCTATCACTACTTCTGTGGCAAATGTTCTGTTGAGACCTTTACAGATAAGACCTGCCATGTTACACCTATAATCTCAAACCAATTACATTAACTGTATTCCAATTGGAAGGAAGAAGTTCCACTCATTTTTTTTTCCCCAAGAATTGCCAATTTGTTGAACATAATCTCAAATGGGTGCTTCTCTGAACATTTTAATCTAGACCTCTTCATGTCAAGGGTCAATCACTAACTTTTCACCATATACTCTTTATTTTCACTTCATACATTCTTCTATTCATATCACGCACCAGATTCATCACTGCCATTTCAACAGTAATTCTCGACATTTAATGGCTTCATATGTTAGAAGAAGAAATGTCTATGGTAATTTTAAATTATAGAGATTTTATGATGTTGATAGCAGAAAGAACTGATGTCATAGTTTTAAATATAGCTGGGGAGGGAACAGATGGATTTATATATTTCCCAAGGATATTTGTGTGTAAGTGAAACGACCACAGCTGCAGATTGAACTCTGCACTTTGATTTTTCATTCTGAGCTACTATCCATTACACCACATCCATATCAGTATAAAGTATTCTATAATGAGGCATGAACTTTTGTCCAATAGGTTGAGATCTCTTTTGTGGGTGGTACATAAACCATCTTGGGCATTGAAATCTGACAAGACGAATCTACAATCATATTTCCATCTTTCCGCCGCAACAGTTTGTCAACCTTGTAATCATCTTAGATTATCTGGATTATGATGAACACATTTTTTTAATTAATTTTTGACTAGTTTTTCTTTTCATCCCATTGTTGCTTCTGATCACCTCATTCTCAGTCAACTTCCCTTCATCCATTGAACAGGAATAAAGAAACATCATCAGATGAAACCTGAACACATAATCCAGGTGCTCATCTTACCCTTTAATAATTAAAGTATGGCCGGATGCTCATATCGCATTATGGCTGTCTGCTAAGGTGGCTAGCTAATCTCTATTGCGGATGACTGGCCAAGACATATTTGCTGAACACTCACATAGCCACCCTGTGTTTTATATTGTGACTATTCTGAGGATACCATCAACTGAACACATGAGGCTTATAGTCACATCATGTTGAAATACTGCTTCCCCGTATGATCACTGAAGTTAAGCAGCATCAAGCCTGGCATTAGTTAGATGGGTGACCACTTGGGAATACCAGATGCTGTAAGTTTGAATGTGCAGGTGGAGTAATGGATAATGCTTGAAATTATTAATATGAAAGCCATGTTCCAATTTCAGTTGGGTCCATTATATTCACTTACCCTTGGGAAAGGTATGAATTCTCTTCTTCCTCCTCAGCTATGGGTTAATTAGTAAGACTTGTATCATTAAATCATTGTTATCTCTAAAACAAAAATAAATAAATAAAATTATGTACAAAATATTTGGAATTCGTTATTATATAATTCATATTCTGCTAAACAAAAACAGCCAACCAACATGAATACATCTGTTATGAATAATCAAGAGTGGTCTCCCCTTGTTTTGTTACTCTCCTCTTTGAGAGAGCTATTTCTGTTTACTATAAAAGGACACTATATGTGAACCTTGTATTCTCAGCTGAATAAAACTTTCTTAAAGCCTACACCTGCATACTTTTATCATTACAACATGAACAACAATGACAATGTTTTAGAGAAAATGGAAACAAAAAGGGACTTATATATAACATTAAAAAGAGACAGTTGAGATTTCTATGACCTATTAAGGAAAGAGGGCTTGGAAAATTGGACACTCACAAGACATACTGAAGTCTACCTAATGAGCTTGTATAAATGGTTTGCAGAACAGGGGTTAGGAGATATAGCAAAAAAGATAAAATTTACTAAGGTCTACAAAGGACAGGAAATTCTGGAGAGCCGTAAATGTCCACATCTTGAATGGACATAGAACACAGAAGGAGGATACTGAGTGGACCTTTAGTTACAGTCTTTGGTAGAGAGTGCATAATCTGGCATGATCAACAGTTTGAATGAGGCCAGTATGCTCAAACCCTCAGTCATGCTAGTTCAAATAATAAGTTAGAATTCAAATATTTACCAACAGCTGGATTACATAAAGGCTGCTTCTGATGTCTTTTAACTCTTCATCAAAATTATAATTATCCACTTACCTGTCAAAAGAAGAAAAGTATATATTAATACATTAAGCATTATTGTAAACAAATTATTATAATATATGATAAATATATAAACATCAAAGGCTAATCGTATTTGAACCTAAAAGCCGCTTTTTCTGATTTTAGAGAGATGGCTAACTGAAAGGATTTAATATAAAATCAACTTTAAAACTGTAAGGTGAAAATTAGAGTGAGCCTTCTTCAGTACTGAAAACATGTATTTGTTATAGAACCTTGTACATTGATAATTGTTTCATAAATTTTCAGCTTTTGATGTTTACATATTTATTATTTGTTACCAAAAAAAAAATGTATAAATATCTGAAAATTGCAGTACAGTATAAACTACATGAAAACGTTGTTTTGGAGAGAGATTTTAATCTTAAAACTTGGAAAGTATTTTTTCTTTCTGAAACTATAAAGGAAATATTAAGTAAAACTGAAAGCATTAAAAATATTTTGTTCAAATAATAAGTTATTAGAAAAAGTAATGAAGAAGTTGAACTCAATTTAAAAAAATTCTTCATATTTAAAGAATATAATAAATACTTCTTTTATTGATTGGTTGATTGATTTTTTATGGATTATCAATGTTTTGCAGGTTATTTATAACCAGAAAATATTTTTAGATTTTTTGTGATGTCAACGAACACTCGTTGCCACTTTTGTAATGTCAACGAATACTTGTTGTCACTTTCGTAATGTTTGTTGTAGAATAGACTTTGTAATCACAGATATAACTATAGTAATGCTGTTGAACAATACTAGTGTCAAACACCTTTGAATAATGCTTGCACTAATAGTACTTGCTCGAAAGTAAACAACAAATAGTGATATGAATAGTAATCCGTATAGTGATCAGTATAGAGAAATAGTATAGTGAATAGTATAGAGATAGAGGATAGTGTAGAAATAGTGATCAATTAGACACCACGCTAATTCCTATTTATGTGCTTCCTTTACCATCATGTGATCTACTTATTCAAAATGGGATCACTTGCATTTGCTCTCTGGTGACCTGTGTTCAAACTCTAGTGTTGGCAGTGGAGTTGAGGAGATGGATTAATACATTTTAATACATTTTCATGTAAGTGAATATAATGAATTGAACTGACTGGGATTGAAACATGGCTCACCGAGTAACAGTTCTGAGCCATTATCCATTACACTACACACTCACATATCCATGCTTACAGCACCTGGTATTCCAAGTGGTCACTCATCTAGGTACTGACTAGGCTCAATATTGCTTAACTTCAGTGATTATATGGAACCAGTGTTTAAATGTGATGTGGCTATAAGCCAATAAATATTCGAAGATGATCAATACTCAAAATTAATTACTAAAATTAAAATTAATTACTAAAGAATATTTACAATTACATAATGGTTGAAAATTATCCAAATCACGGTATGATGAAATGAGAGAAAATTTATTTATTAATATATTAGAGAATTAAGGCTAAAATATAAGTAACATTGCAGGGAGAAACAGATTCATGCCATTTCTAAATACATTCCAAAACACATCCCAAACAAATCTACTGATAGAAAAATGGTGATCCTGCTTTCCCTCCCAGAAAATGCAGTGATGATGCAGGTGGGTTTATGCTGATGACATAGGTATTCATAGTTGGAATAAGAATGATCTTGTACAAAAAACAAAGATCAATGGGTTTATGCTGATGACATAGGTATTCATAGTTGGAATAAGAAAGATCTTGAACAAAAAACAAAGATCAATGGGTTTATGCTGATGACATAGGTATTCATAGTTGGAATAAGAAAGATCTTGAACAAAAAACAAAGATCAACATTGGTCCAAAGAGAAGGACTTAATATAAACATTTCCAAATTGAAAACTATGATCTGGAAATAGAATGAAAAACATGTCCCTGGATCCATCATAAGAATTCAGGATGTGAAATGAGTGAATACTAAACACTTCAAATATGTTGGTGCATGGCTTAGTCAAAACAAATTCAGTACAGGAGAACATAGAGTAGATACACCCAACACTGTAAAAAAAAAAAGAAAACATCAACCACTAAAGAAGTCAAGTCGCATTCTTAAATATCCTTGTCAGATCAACACTGTCATCTGGATCTCATGTATAGCATCCATCTTGTTCAGAAAATGCCTAAACTCTCAGCCATATTTCTCAGATAAATGATTAAAAATGATTTCAAGCGAATGAAGTCTGTAGATCTTAGCAAACACAATCCTTCATCAGATCTCATGGACATCTCATAGTAACAACTAAAATGGATAGAATGTGTAGCTCGAAGACAAAATAATGACATAATCAAGATGTTGATGTTCCACACAACTTTTAGCAAAAGGTTAGGAAGGAAACTCCCATCAAAATTGTTTTAAGAATGCTAATAGTTAATAGACTTCAGAGTTGTACTTTTCTGAAAAAGTGTTTTAAAAGAAAGATTTTATAAAAGTAACTCAGAACCCCATAAATTATACTAATGTTTGTTTAACAAGTTGAATGCATGTACAACCTAATTGACCAATGAAAATCAAACAATACAAAATTAAAAATACCAGGATTTCTTTCTTTTCCTCCATATATCATTCTCTGATGAAGCTTTAAAAAAGTGAAGCATGCTAGATTGATAAATGTTTCCTATTTATTCTTTATGTTATATATATATATATATATATATATAAAAGTGTTTCCTATTCTGGACATGAAGTGTGTAACAATTGAACAAATGTTCTATATATCCAAGTGTTTTCAGCTATTCTATTAACCATTATCAAGGATTTTTTTTTTTTTTGTTTTTTAACTGAATGCGTAGATTTTTTTATATGTTTCTACACATTCAGTCTGTAATCTTATTGGCCCTGACCTAGCATCTCAACTTCACTCATTTTCCTGCCACCATGACATGGTTTCCCTTTGTCTTTTCTATAAATATTTTCTTGGTAATTGTTCTGAGGATCTTTCTTCTTTGGTACCACAACACATGAGTTTAAGTGTACTATTAGATCAGTGATTAGGTCTCATTGTTTTACTGTTTAAATAGTGAAATGTAAACATAACTTCTATACTAACAGTTTTTTCTCACTTGCAGAATTCCTTCCTGTCACTTACAACCTTCAAAAATTTAAATGCAACATCAATTAACATCTTATGTCTTCTTGAAATCTGCCCTTTTATTGTTTTTTCTCCTCACTAATGTTTTCTCATTCTCTTCCAATCTAGGTAAACCTCTTGTGCTTTAGTGGTATTATCACCTTGCTTGGATGAAATGATTAAAATAAAATAAAATAAATTAACCTGGTTAACCATTTTTTGTCAAAATACAAACTTTGTTATATATATATATATAATTTCAGATATAACTAAAAACAGATTTGTAAAAGACTAGTATGAATAAATACAAAACGGAAACTTAGTTAAGCTGGCACGTTTTGTCCTCTGATGGACTTTATAAAAGCAAATGTTAGGATTTTATTTTGCAACAAGTATTTATAAGCAAAGTAAAAATATTAATAGTTTTTCAAACAATCTAAGAATGCTCATAAATATTCATGAGGCTAACTGAAAAGTCAAGGTAAATTATGGAGGATGCTAAGTGATATAATTTAATGTTTAATAAACAAAAGTGAGTAAATGTTGCTGTTAAAATTTTTTTTATAATGCAATTAATATTCATGTTATTTTAGTTTGGGATTAATTTATATATTATATACAATTGTGGATAGAGTTTTCTAAGGACATGCAAATATTTGCAAGTACTTACTGAATTTACTATAAATAGTTGATTTAGTTTTTGAATAGTTTCGCATAATTTCTTAATTTTTTAGAAATTTCATTTTATTATATTAATAGTTGCAGATTTTTCAAAAAGGTGGTGTAATCCAAAGTTTTTCACCCCCTTATGGAAATTATAAAAATAATATTGCTCTATGGCAACTGTAATGTTTTTTTCTTAATTTGACATTTAATACAAGCACACTTTTGAAAATGAAATAGTATTGACCTGATTCTATAACATTCTAAAAAGTAATAAAGAAGACAACATGTGAGTGCCATGTAACATGATAACTCATTCATTCTGTGATCATGTCAAAGATGGCCGAACTCGATAAGAAGCTCTAAATGGAAGTAGTTGATGTGTACAAACAAGATGATGGCTATACAACAATTTCCAAAGCATTTAAATGTTTCTAGATCAACAATTCGTAGCATTATCAAGAAGTACAAGAAGACTAATTGTCGAGAATAAATTAAGGATTGGCAGAAAACGGTTAATTTCTGAGAGAATAGAAAGGAAAATTGTTAGAAATGTTTTGAAGAATTCTCACTTAACGACAAAGGAGATTGTCAATGATGTAAAGATATCAGGATTGAATGTATCGATGAAGACAGTCACCAGATGCTTTCATTGAACAGAACTTTGAGCTTGTCGCCCAAGGAAAACTCCTTTGATTAAGGCTAAATATCTAAAATGCAAATTAGCTTCTGTTAGAATTCATCTAAAACATGCAAGTAAATATTGGAACTCTGTTTCATGGTCAGATGAAACAGAACTAGAATTATTTCATCACATGAATGTATGGAGGAAAATGAATAAATCTCACAAACCAAAAAATACTCTCCTTACAATTAAGCACGGTGGTGGGAGAATTCTGCTCTGGTGATATTTTGCTGCTTCTGGACCAGGAGAACTAGGGGCAATAAAGGGTATCATGGATAAAGAGCAGTACTTGGCTATTCTTAAAAATAATATAAAACAAAGTGCACGAAAGCTGTCTTTGGGGTATCACTAAATATTCTAATATGACAATGACTCGAAACACAAAGTACGAATTGTTAGAAAATAATTAGATGACAGCAAATTTAATCCATTGGCGTATGTCACACAAAGTCCTGACTTAAACCCCTTTGAAAATTATGGGCATATTTGAAGAAAAAATAAGAGAAAGAAGTCCTTCAAATTTGGAGGAACTAGAAGCTAATGCCAATGAAGAATGGAGCAAAATACTTATCAGTGTGTGTAGTGATCTTGTAAGAAACCATCAAAAATTATTAAAGGCAATAATCAAGGATAAAGGTTACACAATTGATTATTGAGACAAGAGAGCCAATAATTTTGTTCTATATTAAATGTTGTTTTTGTATTTGACATTAAAATAAAAATTTTGTTGGAAGCATCACTGAACATTCTTTCAAATCCATTATTTCATGATTTGTGAAAAAATACACATGAAGTTTGCATGAGAATTTGAGGTATTACAGATTTACCTGTAATTATATCCACAGCTGTATTTTAAACAAGACCATGTTCTTTTAATTTTTTAACATTTTTATCATCAGATACATTGGCTTCGGAAAGGAGTAATTCTTTCAGGAATGAAGAGATTTAAAAAAATCCATGGTGCAGATTTATATTTTTATAATATTCGATAGTGGCACTCTTGAGAATTTTCCATTTAATAATTGTTGCAAAATATAATCCTTACATTTGCCTTTTGTCTTTCAAAACACCCCTCACATATATATATATTTATATATATATATATAAGTTTCATTAAAGATGACTGACAAGGTACTGAAATTAAGCTTTTTATTTTATTTTACTTTCTGGACATAAAGTATGTAAAATCTGTCTAAATGTTCTTTGTAACAGTGCTTTTTCTATTAGCCATTATCAAGGATTATCGTATTTTCTATGAGTATGTTGTGGATGCAGTTTGGTATGTTTCCATGTGTGGTTAATTGAGGAGCAAAATATGACTAAAAAAAAAATTGACAATAAAAAAAGAAAAAGCCAACACTCAATAATATCAACTATGAACATGGTCACAATGTGCTGAGTGTGTTTGGAAAATAAAAAAAAAACATTCCCATCAATACACATACACATATTCAGTTAAAGATAAAAAAAATCCTAAATAGAATAGTCAAAAACACTCAGATATATAGAACACTAGCAGTAGAGCCCGGCGTTGCCCGGGGATGTAACAGTAAGAGATAGAACAAGTATTGACCATCATAAAGACTGAAAAATAAAATTAACAAAGATTATTGTTTAAGGTTGACGGACACGCATGTCTTAATTAGTTTTTCTTTTTTGTTTTTTTTGTTTTTTACGAATTGGTCAAACCCAAACTCAAACAAAAACATTGTTTTCAATCGTTATGGGTCTACTGATTGAATAGAATTTTATTATAAACAATTGTCTTGTAAATGGAATTTTAAGCATTATGAATGTAAAAATAAAGAAAAAAAGTGTGCAAGACAATAAGGAACACTACCTGCCAAAA